TGCTACGTGCAGAACCGGCGTTCCAGGAGCGTGCGGAGCACCCAGCCCCGCTGCCGGGACCCCCCAGCCCCTTCGAAAGCCATAGGGGAGCCAGCGCCGGGCTTGGCCGGCCCCCCCCGCAGCCCCCCCCTCACCCCGGCGTGTCCCACGGCGCGGGGGGCTCCTCTCCATCCGTGGATCCCCCCGTCCCAGCTCCCGCCGCGTGAGACACCCCCCCCGGCAGCTCGGGGTCCGGCGGCGGCTGTGGGGGGGCTGCGGCGTTTATTATTTTTTAAAGACATGGTTGTATTTATTTCATGATTTTATTGTTTTTTTGTCTGTTTGGGTTTTGTCCCGCGGGCCCCCGGCAGCGCAGCCGAACCCCAGCGTGTCACAGCAGGGCCCACGCCGCCCCCTGTACAATATATACATATATCTCTATTTTTAATTCTAGCGCTGAAAGCCACTGTTCCCAACCCCACAGTAGGGGGTTTGCTCTTGGTCTGTTTTGTTGATTTTTTTAAATTTTATTTTATTTTTTTTTAAAAAAGAGATGTTTGTATCCCTCTGCTCAGTCCTGAGCCCTTGGCCACAACCCGAGGCCGGGGCTTGCTGGGGCGGAAGCACTTTATGGCTCAGAGGTGGCCCCGAGGTGGTTTGGGAGGAGGGGGGGGGCAGAGGGACACAGGAGGGGGGGGCTGGACCACCAAGGGCAGGGGCTCCCAAGCCCAAAGGCCACTGAGCCCGGGAGGTACTTGTTCCCTCATCCTGTCCCTACGGCAGAGGGAGGGTGTCCCAGTCCCTCTCCCTTCCCGCTCTGCTTCCTTCTCTGCCTCCAAAGCGCTTTTGTGCAAAAGACTGAGATTCACTAATGAAAATGAGGAAAAAAAAAGGGGGGCTGCCCCCCAGCCCCGGTTCAGGTGGGGACAGGGGTAAGGCCACCGTAATCGCCAGGCGTAAAGCTTGTTAACTAAATCCTGCAGTTCAATATTCCTGGGAACAGGGAGCGAGGCAGGAGGAGGAGGAGGAGGAGACGGGCAGAGAGGGAGAGACAAGGCAGCCCCAGCGCCGGGCACCCCCCCAACAGCCCCTGACACGCACCCCCAAACCCCCCTCCCCAGCAGCGCATTTCCAGCCAGCACCCCCTCCCTCCCCACGCTCCGGCGCAGGGGGGGCAGCGCTTTGTGATGGCAGAGCGTGCCCAGCCCTCCACCACCACCCCCGGGCCTGCCCAGGACCCCCCCAGCACCCCTGGGACTCTGTTGTGGACCACTGCCTTAAACCACGCTGGCCAGCGTGGAGGAAGAGTGGGACCGTGGCCACCTTGGGGCACGCTCAGCCTGGGCAGCGCTTGCCCCCACCAGCCCCGAGGCCGAATTTGGGCCAGAGATTGCAAATAAGGGGAGGGGGGAGAGGGGGGAGAAGAAATTTTACAGAGTAAATGCAAGATTTGAAGTGGTGCTGAGCACCCGGCCGTCCCACCGAGATCCACGGAGAGAGCGTTGGCGCCTCAGCCCCTGCTGCAGGAGAGAGGAGAGGAGAGAGAGGGGGAAAGAAGGAACTGCCAGAGGTCGGTTTTTTTCCTGAGCTGCAGCGCAGCCGCCCCCCGTGGCCCCCCCAGCGCTCCCTCCCCACCCCCCCGAGGGCCATCAGAGCCAGGGGGGGGGCCGGGGGGGGCTCCCGCAGGGTGGAGACTCCAGCGCTCTGTAACCTATTGTCCATGTAAGAACGATGAATGTTAACACGGTAAATTATTATTACAATTAAAAAAAAAAGAAAAAAGACCACAAAAAATGGCTCTGCAACCTTGTCATTGCGCAGGGGGGAACGGGGGGGGCCAGGAATTGTCTCCTGGGAGCGGTGGCCCCGGAGAAGATGGTGCTGGAAGCTCCATGGGAAGAGGGAGAGCAGCCACCAGCGTCCCAGGCGCTGGAAAGGGGTGAGAAAGGAGGCTCAGCACCAGATCACTGCATAATATACACACTTTATTTATGAATTTGTATGTATACAGACTTTCTATACACACCATTACCTATATAATAAAAATGTACATGTGTATACATGGTCGTATAAATATAGAACTGTAGAAATCTTAGAACCGATCCTGTCTATTCACAGCAACTCCTCGGGGGGGGACCGCTTTGTTCGAGTAGCCGTCATTTGAGACTTGGGCAAAAGGGGCAAGTGTCATTTGTGTTGGTTTGTGCCCAGAATTTGATGCACTGGAAGAGAGAGAATTAGTCAAGAGCCACCGGCACGACTCGGGGGCACCGCGAGCACCGCGCGGCGCTACTTCTGCAGGAGAGCGCTCGGGTTTAAGGGCCGGTTTCTTTGGCTCCTGGACAGGAGGTGGCCGCGCGGAGGGAGCCCTCTTCCACCCAGCAGGACCACCAACGCGTGGCTCTCCGGTTCCTCGGCACTCGCTGGAGGCCCCAGCAGGATTTGGGGACGGGGGCTTTGCCTACGCGGGCGACTGCGGGACGAGAAAGGCTCCTCCTCTTCCCAAGGGCTCCTGAGCACGGACCCACCGTGCCCAGACACCTGGGTGAGGGGAGCAGCTCCTCCATCACCCCATGTTCTCTAGATCCTCCCAGAGCCTCCTGCTCCGAGAAGGCAAAAGGCCAGGGTCTAATGCTCCTGGCAACGAGGGCAGCCTCGGAGGACGGAATACGGACAGCCTGTTCCTAAAGGCACCACTGAATGGCCCAGCAAGGACAGGGAGGAGGACAGGAGGCAGAGCAGCTGTTTATTGATCATACCCTTCTCCTGGCACCATCTCCACGTGACAGGGACTCGCCCCCCAGGGCCCACGGGAGGGAATCGGCACTAGGAACCGTCACGAGGGACCCAAGAGCACACTCACCTCCTTGTGCAGCACGTGCGAGCAGGCCATGGGGTGAAGGTCACCGGGCTGCACCAGCTTCTGGCACATCAGACACAGCTTGCAGGCAGCCGGGCTCTGGGACGAGCAGCGAGGGAACAGAGAGGAGACGGGGACGAGTCAGACCCCCCAGCTCAGAGCACGCCTTCCACCTTCCAGCTGCTTGCCTGGCCACCAGGGCCACGGTTTGCCCAACTCCCCCCTCTGCCCCCAGCCATCCCACGACGTTGGAGCCTCTCTTGTGGCCATTCCCATCCCCTCCGATGCGGAGCAAAGGACCCCTGTCCCTCACCCTCCCCTGCCCCCTCACCAGCCCCAGCAGCTGCGTGAGGAGAGAGGTCCCAGCTTCCCTGGCTCATCCTTTGGGCCACTTCTCCCAAGGGCTCCCTCCATCCCCTTCCCCAAGTGCTCTGGAGAAGCCAAAAAAGCCCTTACGTGCGACGCTGTCCCAGGGTAAGCCACCTGGGCCGGGGGCAGGAACATGGGCGTGCTGATCTGAGGCAGGGGAGCAGAGAACATGGGGGCTCTGATCCGGCCGAGAGGCTGCAGCGAGGCAAAGGAGGCCCGTCAGGGAGGCTCAGAAGGGAAGGACACCACGTCACCCTCCTCACCCGCGGGGAGGGCTGCTCCTGCTGCCAGCACCCAGGGGACAGGCCCGAGCTCTGTGCAGCAGGGAACCCAGGAGCAGATGCAGCTCCTCATGCCCTCCCAGCCCCC